TGAGCCGCACCCTCAGTGACTGCAGCATGTCAGAGTGTTGCATACAGTCATCACAAGATCACTGATCAAACTTCTGATCACTATAGACGGAGTTATTCTGATCGACCCTGCACCCTGATGTCACCAAAGGGTTAATGCACCTTAAACGCAGCAGTGCGTTCACATACATAAACATGTATGTGTGTGTGTATGTGTGTGTGTGGGTGTGTGTGTGCAGGAGTGAACGGGCTGTTCTCTACAGGGTTCATGTCGTGTGAATGTCAGTGTCCGCCTGCACACGAGGCTGAGTGTGTGTGTGTGACAGAACATGTGTGTGTGTGTGTGTGTGTGTGTGTGTGTTGCAGCAGCTCTCCTCCACTGGGCAGCCAGCTGTCTCTGTGATTACCCAGCATCCTCCAGGTGTCAGATCTGCCATCTGCAGATGAGTGGCAGGGCGTGTGTGTGAGGAATGGAGGGAAGAGAGGGGGAGAGGAAACAGAAGAACTGGTTCTGCAGACATCTGGAACGTGTTCAGACGGGTCAGCGAATGCCACCGAGTGTGAATGGCGCTCCGTTGAAAAGGTGGTTTTCAGAGTCCTCGGCTTCTTCAGCTGTTATTGGCTGATTCTGCCTCTCACACAGAGGAGACACATGAGCTAGTATCTAACAGAAATGTTTCTCACACACTATTTGTTCTCATTATTATTATCAGAAGAAGTGTTGGAGCGTTTGAGCTGTTTGAGGCAGAACTGGTCTTAATTGTGTCCTGAGAGGAAAAACAGCTGGAAGAGTAAAAATCATTTGGTTGATTAAAGACATGAATAAAAGATCACACACACACACACACACAGTCTTTGCTTTTTTCTTCATTGTTCTCAATTAGCCTCAAATTGTAGAATCAAAGGCGTGTTTGTGTTTCGCTCTTTGTACAGCTTAGATGTTGCGCTAAGGCGCCGTCATAATGTCAGAGATGCTGCTGTGGTGTGTCTGTGTGGACGCAGCCTCCCAGTCTCAGTTAAGACTCTAGCTCCCATCATCCTCTCTGAGTGGGGGCGGTCCCGTCCTGAACCTTCAAAGTCGTCCATCGGCAGTTTGACCTGTTTGATGCAGTGATCTGTTTCCTGTGACCCCGGCTGTAGCGTGTGAGTGTGTGATCAGGCTGACCTCAGGTCAGCGGTGTATTTAAAGCAGCCGCCCACCAATGATTACCTGTCCATCTGATGAGCGGCGCTCTCATAAGGATCAATTTCTGACAGAAAATATCAGGCACCACCGACTGTATTAAGACTTCAAAGCTGCGTGTGAGAATCACGCTGTTTGTCCTTCGTTAGCGTGGCGGTGTGTGTGTGTGTGTCGACATTTCTGCAGTGTGAGAAACAAACTGATCCTCTGTTGGCTCTGCCGTGGACTCCACACTGGACCTCTGTTCAATCTGTAACGTCCACCACACGGGGACCTCAGGAGGGTCCACGCAGTGTTCACTGGGCGCCAAAAAAACTGCTCCATCCAGATACTTTGTCAAAACCACAACCTGTTGGAGGGACGAGAATTTGTTCAGCATTCATTAAAATGTATCCTGATGTGGAGGGTGACACACTCATCCTCTAAAGGGTCAGTTCACCCAAAATTACACATCACTCACCTTCTGTGGCAGGAAGCTGTGAAGATCGGTTTGGTTTTACTTTTCCAAGATTTGAGACATCTGTTAAAATAAAACAATTAAAGTTTGTGAAAATATAACAGCAACAGGTCTCTGTGTCTGTTCCTGCGTCTCTGGTAGAAGGTCGATACAGTCAGGCCGTTCTCATGGACTGTTCATACATATGTAGATGGATTAGATGTATGTACAGTGTGAGGGGGGTGTCACTCAAATTAACACGTACAAATCAGGAAAAGATTCAAACTGACCACAGAGAGATGCAAAGATTCTGCAACGAGACACAAATAAGTGCAAGAGGCAAAACAACCATGAGACACAAACATGAGAAACACTAAATAACTCAGAGAAACACAAAACCACAAAGAGATGTCTTACAGCTACAAAGAGGTGTGTTACAGCTACAAACAGATGTCTTACAGCTACAAAGAGATGTCTTACAGCTACAAACATGTGTTACAGCTACAAACAGATGTGTTACAGCTACAAACAGATGTGTTACAGCTACAAACATGTGTTACAGCTACAAACAGATGTGTTACAGCTACAAACAGATGTGTTACAGCTACAAAGAGATGTCTTACAGCTACAAACATGTGTTACAGCTACAAACTGATGTGTTACAGCCACAAACAGATGTGTTACAGCTACAAACAGATGTGTTACAGCTACAAACATGTGTTACAGCTACAAACAGATGTGTTACAGCTACAAACATGTGTTACAGCTACAAAGAGATGTCTTACAGCTACAAACATGTGTTACAGCTACAAACATGGGTTACAGCTACAGACTGATGTGTTACAGCCACAAACAGATGTGTTACAGCTACAAACAGATGTGTTACAGCTACAAACAGATGTGTTACAGCTACAAAGAGATGTCTTACAGCTACAAACATGTGTTACAGCTACAAACTGATGTGTTACAGCCACAAACAGATGTGTTACAGCTACAAACAGATGTGTTACAGCTACAAACATGTGTTACAGCTACAAACAGATGTGTTACAGCTACAAACATGTGTTACAGCTACAAAGAGATGTCTTACAGCTACAAACATGTGTTACAGCTACAAACATGGGTTACAGCTACAGACTGATGTGTTACAGCCACAAACAGATGTGTTACAGCTACAAACAGATGTGTTACAGCTACACAGATGTGTTACAGCTACAAACAGATGTGTTACAGCTACAAACAGATGTGTTACAGCTACAAAGAGATGTCTTACAGCTACAAACATGTGTTACAGCTACAAACTGATGTGTTACAGCCACAAACAGATGTGTTACAGCTACAAACAGATGTGTTACAGCTACAAACATGTGTTACAGCTACAAACAGATGTGTTACAGCTACAAACATGTGTTACAGCTACAAAGAGATGTCTTACAGCTACAAACATGTGTTACAGCTACAAACATGGGTTACAGCTACAGACTGATGTGTTACAGCCACAAACAGATGTGTTACAGCTACAAACAGATGTGTTACAGCTACAAAGAGATGTCTTACAGCTACAAACATGTGTTACAGCTACAAACTGATGTGTTACAGCCACAAACAGATGTGTTACAGCTACAAACAGATGTGTTACAGCTACAAACATGTGTTACAGCTACAAACAGATGTGTTACAGCTACAAACATGTGTTACAGCTACAAAGAGATGTCTTACAGCTACAAACATGTGTTACAGCTACAAACATGGGTTACAGCTACAGACTGATGTGTTACAGCCACAAACAGATGTGTTACAGCTACAAACAGATGTGTTACAGCTACAAAGAGATGTCTTACAGCTACAAACATGTGTTACAGCTACAAACTGATGTGTTACAGCCACAAACAGATGTGTTACAGCTACAAACAGATGTGTTACAGCTACAAACATGTGTTACAGCTACAAACAGATGTGTTACAGCTACAAACATGTGTTACAGCTACAAAGAGATGTCTTACAGCTACAAACATGTGTTACAGCTACAAACATGGGTTACAGCTACAGACAGATGTGTTACAGCCACAAACAGATGTGTTACAGCTACAAACAGATGTGTTACAGCTACAAAGAGATGTCTTACAGCTACAAACATGTGTTACAGCTACAAACAGATGTGTTACAGCCACAAACAGATGTGTTACAGCTACAAACAGATGTGTTACAGCTACAAACAGATGTGTTACAGCTACAAACAGATGTGTTACAGCTACAAACAGATGTGTTACAGCTACAAACAGATGTGTTACAGCTACAAACAGATGTGTTACAGCTACAAACAGATGTGTTACAGCTACAAACAGATGTGTTACAGCTACAAACAGATGTGTTACAGCTACAAACAGATGTGTTACAGCTACAAACAGATGTGTTACAGCTACAAACAGATGTGTTACAGCTACAAACAGATGTGTTACAGCTACAAACACATGTGTTACAGCTACAAACAGATGTGTTACAGCTACAAACAGATGTGTTACAGCTACAAACAGATGTGTTACAGCTACAAACAGATGTGTTACAGCTACAAACAGATGTGTTACAGCTACAAACAGATGTGTTACAGCTACAAAGAGATGTCTTACAGCTACAAACATGTGTTACAGCTACAAACAGATGTGTTACAGCTACAAACAGATGTGTTACAGCTACAAACAGATGTGTTACAGCTACAAACAGATGTGTTACAGCTACAAACATGTGTTACAGCCACAAACAGATGTGTTACAGCCACAAACAGATGTGTTACAGCCACCAACGTAACGTAACTTTACTTGCCCAAAGATAACCCACAAAACTTTACATTAACTATGTAACGTGACAACATTGGTGATAATTCAACTGAAACCAAGTGAACACTGAGTTGATTTAAAGTTCGTCCTCATATTTCTTTTCATAAATCGAACTTTTACTTAACTTTACTTTCCTAAAAATAACTTTGTGTTATGTACATAACTTCACTTTTAGTGGGTAACTTTACATTTGGTACTTGATGTGACAGTGCAGTTCATGAGGTTCATCCTCACCATGTTTCTTTTCCTAAACTGAACCTACGTAACTTGAAGTTTGTAACGTGATGACGTCATTCATGAGGCACTAATTTGTTAGATATGAGCTGTTGTATGACGACACATTGAGTGAAAGCTGTGACTATAGAATGAAATTCCCTTCGTGGTGTCGGAGGAAGAAATGTGAGAAACAGGCAACCTGGACAGATGAATCCAAACGATCTGTATGTGTACATACCACGAGATTTAAGTCAGTGATTTGGGTGAAGTGTACCTTTAACTGATGATGATGATGATGATGATGATGATGAAACATGGTAATAATGATGTTCTCATGTTTTCCTCTTTTCCAGGTGACGTTCATGAATTTTAAAATCATCCAGAAGTGAGAAGAGGGTGTCGGAGCTGAAGTCTCTTATTTCTGTAAGTGTGATATTAATATCGTCTGTCAGAGTGTGTGTGTGTGTGTGTGTGTGTGTGTGTGTGTGTGTGTGTGTGTGTGTAATTTTTGCCTTTGTTTGGCACTCTGGATGACTCTGATGACTCTGATGATGATGATGATGATGATGATGATGCCTCCAACAAATAGTCAGATAATAGTAAGATTATTAGCATTCATAGAGAAACGTGATTGTTTTTTTACTTGAAGCAGAACGCAGCGACACTTGCTGAAGTTTGAACGTTGAACGTTTTGCAGCAGCGGTTGTCTTAGCAGAGTGTGTTGTTGTGTGTGTGTGTGTGTTATATATGTGTGTGTTGGTCCGTGTTAGTCCAGCGGCACATACAGAACACTTTTGATTTGTTTCCCAGCGAATGCAGCGCTGCTCTCGGGTTAGTATTCTGCCCTGTGCGCCCTCAATAGCAGCTTTCAGTGCGGGTGAAGAAAGGGGTCTTTTAAAGCGTCTCGCAGGCATCACTCCAGGAAGCTTTCAGCGCCGCGACCTACAGTACGCCTTTTAATGGACTCTCTCTGTGTGAGCAATAAAGATTGTATCTGGAGTCAGATCGTGCTGGAGGAGGTAACACTAGCCCAGATGAAGCCAGTGAGGTGGCGGCGGCCCGTGCTGATGGCTTCAGCAGAGACACATGAAATGTACAGATGGGAGAGGTTGGAGAAAAGAGCCATCAGACCATCTGGCTAATCCCCCTGTTTAAGAATACTTATTAAGGCCCTCTGTAGTGGCCCTTGAGCCGTGTCACTGCCGGGTCAACAAGTGGCCTCACAGAGTGGACAGAGCGGCTTCAGTGTTGTGTTGCAGGTGATAATCTGTGTCCTGCCGCTTGGTCCAGGACTTCACTTTCAAATGCTGATTTATGGCTCCTGTAAATCCTGTTGTCAATCTGGAGGTTTGGCCCCCACCCAGGGGGGTCAAGGCTCTGGCACTGATTGATGCGACCTCTGACACCATGTACACATAGATTCATTTTAAAGATTTATTGTGTCACTTTTATACATTAAAATGTCTAAAAACAAGGGGACCATCCTGATGAGATCATCCTGAACATTTCCAGCAGCTTTCAAACCATCGTTTGGTTTCTGTTGTTGTCTGTAAAAAGCTCTCGTAACTTTTTATCCTGCTTTATGCTACATCTTTATGATATGTTTTCATTTTTAATGATATATTTTAACTTGAAGGATTTTAATCATCAGACATCTGAATCTGAAGTTATCAGATCTGAGCAAATGTCAGAGGCAGCTGTGCCAAACACCTGAAACGTCTTTATTCAGTGCAACTGTGAGAAACTGTCTGCAGTGACGCTCATACCAGCAGAAAATGACATATTTTACATTTAAGGGTACTAAAACGTTGAGAAGCACTGATCTGGAGCAACCAGCGTGACGTCTGGTGACGGATATCTCTGAAGACAATATTGTTACGACTGAAGATCAATAAAGTAATACAAACATCACAGTAATTAATCCAGGCCTTGTACATTTATTTCCTGTGATTGAAGAAAGGAACAGTGTCATTGTTGGGGAAAACCAGAGCACTCAGGCTCGCCTTTAATTCCATCAAACAACCTTAATTTCATCAGCTCATCTGGAAACTTGAAATCACATTATTGTGTCTTTTAACATGCAGTTGCTTTTCAAATGGAATTACATGGCGGTGAGATGACAAGTGGACCCTCCTAACACAGTTAGAGTCTGTACAGGGAACCAATCGTGTCGTGACAGGAACAATTTATTTTATCTTTGTTTCATAAGACTTTGGGAAGAAGTGGCTGCTGATTGGTGGAGAGTTTACAAAGTCAAAGCTCAACTGTACAAAGTGTGTTTAATGATGAGAGGAGCTGAGGTGTGATTGTGTTCGAGCTGATCACTGGACCTGAAACAGGTTCATGTTGGTTTCACTGTGTTCATCAGCAGAGCCTCGAGAACGTGATCCACATTTTTATTTGTGCATTAAAAATGAACATGTTATTGGTCATCTTGGTTATGGTCAGGAAAAGATCATGTTTTAGCTAAAACTACCAGGTTTTAGGGGAACAATCGCTGCTGTCTACACTGACAGGTCAGATTTAGACCCACGTCTACGCCGCTGGAAACACAGTGATGACTCACTAAAACACTGGTTGGTCTGGAACAGAGTCTGCAGGTGTCACGCCATCCACCGTCCTCTCCACCTCCCAATGGCAGAGTCATCTCGTATCTCTGCACTGTAGAAACACTGACGTATGAAACATGCAGATATAATGTAGTGGTACAGTTTTCTTGAGGCTCCTGGGCTGTTTATAGATGAAGCTATTTTCATACTGAACCTGTGAAGTCGTGGTCTGACATGTGGCACTGAGACGGACATTGAGAGACAGACTTCAGTGGGACTTATTTCTGGAGCTGTGTTGTTAAGCATGTTTGCTGTAATGGCAGTCATTTGCACAGAGTTAGAAGAGTGAGCAGACAGCAGGCAGCTGTTGGGCTGATTTGTGGTCAGCTAATGAGCTAATGAACTCACTGAGGTTACCTGTTTGGCGTTTTCAGAAACAATTTCGTCCTCTTCTTTGACTGGAGCTTTGTATGTGAACTTCAGTGTGTCACAGCGCAGTACGGATCAGCGCTGCTAATGGGCAGCGTCTAACAAAATTTACTGTGGTTTCTCAGTACTTAGCTTCATGCTAACAGTCAGCTATTGTGTCCTCCTGAGCTCGGACATTTACTGGACTGATCTGATTTGTCCACACATATGAAATGTTCAGAGCGGAAAGAAAGCCTTGCAAGTTTGCGGTGCGCAGCTTCATGTGGGAAAAGAGACGTGGAGCGAATGGCCACGGCCACGCTTGGAGTCGGCACATTGGCTCCCGCATGCCAGCACATCTGTGACAAGTACATATGTTAGTGTGTTATGTATTTAGTTGTTTTCCAGGCTGCGTCTGTATCAATTTATTTGTGTTTGTGCCTGCCTGCATGCATGTTTGTGTTTTGCACACTCATGCCTCATCAACATCCCGTCTGAGGCCCATCTGGTTTGCTTTGAAGAGGCTGATGGAGCTGTGAGGCAGGGCCGGGCCAGCGGCGGTTCCTCCCCACTTACACATAAATCCACGGTGCCAGGCCCGCTGCCAGTAACAGTATAGACCGACCCTCGTGGCTACTTCCCAAACCACCCAGGCTCAGACCCCACTTTCTCTCTTCTATTGCCCTTGAAATGGGGCCTGCTCTAAATATTATCTCCCCCTGTGCTTTATCCCTGCGTTTATCCCTCCGTCGGCACAGAGAAGAAAGGAGCCGTGGGGCTGACTCACTTTTTCCCCTCTCTTCTCCTCTCTCCAAAACCGCAGGCAGCGGCAGCGGCTTCCTGGAGATGAGCGCTTTTGTCTGTTGTGTGACCGCTGCGGCTTTAGGCAGATCCTCCTCTGATGAGGTAATGCACGGGCTCGATGAGGAGGCAGGGTGAGGAAGGAGGAGAGCGGCTTCTCCATCTATATTTTAACCTTTGATTTATCCAGAGGAGAGGAGACTTCATGGAGACGCACACTCTCCTCAGCAGCTGCAGCCGGCTTCACACGGAGGCCGCTGCTCACATTCACACCTACTCTGAGGTGGTCGGTGATCAACTGGTGATCAACTGGTGCCTGCTGGTCGTCTCCACTGCAGCATCTGTGGGTGATGAGTCAGCAGCTGAGGGAGGAGCAGTCATCATTCCTTTCTGTGAAGCTTTTCCAGGTTATCTTGTTTTCCAACCAGCAAACATTTCAGCATGAAGTCTTTCAGGGAATCATGGCGTCAGGTAGTTTGAGGGTGAACTGTGCGGTGTGGTGACGGAGAATAAGAGGAGTGGAGAGTGTTGGGACACGGAGGGACGGGACTGGTTATGCTCCTGGGGATCAGACGAGGTGCCTGGATAAGAGTCAAACTTCCAGATGCACGAAAACTAAAGTTTGATTGATTCATGAGGTGTGATGATATTTTCTGTCAGGTCTCAGTCACCCTCAGGTGTGTCGCTCTGACACATCTACCTGACTTGATGTGAGTGTGTCAGTGGTTGATGAATGGACAGATGTCATGTAGCAGATTAATAGAAGAGAGGTCAGCGTGTCTCCATCAGTTTCCTTCCTCTGCCTGTGAGGAGAGCGTTCCTCTAACAGGAACAGAAAATCAGCTCCTCACACGACAAGTTTCTGATGAAGTATGAACCGTGTGATGAAAAGAAATGGCGGCGACTTCAGTGTTGCTGCAGATGCTTCAGAAAAAGCACATGACGTGCACGGCGCTCGGGCCAAACGGAGGAGCTGGCAGCAGAGTGAAGTGTCGTACACGAGGAGCTGGCAGCTCTCAAACTCTGAAAATGGAGGGAGAGTAAATGTGTTTGTGTCTCATAGTCACACTGAGCCCTGCCTCTGATGAGCTGCTTTAATACGTTCAGTAAAGTTTATTATCATGTGTAACCTGCCCCAGTTTGGATAAGCCACACCCCCCCCACCAGTAACTCCCAGGTAAAACACACAGCCTGGTATTTCATGTGTAACTTATAAAGTGTGGTAACTTAACGTGAAGCAGCAAATAAGTTTAAGAGTTTAATTTGAGATAACTTTGCTAATGTTATAAGTTACATGTAAATATGAGACTGTGTTGTTTATCTTGGCGTTGTTGGCGGAGGGGGCGTGGCTTAGTCAAAGTGATGAACACATGCTGTCGTCTCAACATACAGTACAGGCCAAAAGTTTGGACGCACCTTCTCATTCAATGCGTTTTCTTTATTTTCATGACTATTTACATTGTAGATTCTCACTGAAGGCATCAAAACTATGAATGAACACATGTGGAGTTATGTACTTAACAAAAAAAGGTGAAATAACTGAAAACATGTTTTATATTCTAGTTTCTTCAAAATAGCCACCCTTTGCTCTGATTACTGCTTTGCACACTCTTGGCATTCTCTCCATGAGCTTCAAGAGGTAGTCACCTGAAATGGTTTCCACTT